TCATGCATTGCACAAGTGTGCTTTGAGGTTACTTGAGAATGGTTCTATTATGGTATTAATGAGTAAGACTCAGTTATGCTTATATGATTATGACTTATCTCCTATGTTCATTAAGTATGTCTTATGTTGACTTATATTTATATGATGCTTGTGTTGGAGATTATGCTATGACTACGAGGATTATGCTATGACTATGTTATTATCTCTCATGCTTATGTCTTATGTTGACTAACCATTTTGAGATGCTCTTATGATGTTCTGCTAGCTTTCATACTTAGTACATTTTGTACTAACGCATATTGCCTACATTCTAATCAAATGTAGGGTATTGGAGATTGAGTTCATTTGGAGGCTAGGTTTCTAAGGTGCAAGAAGAGTTGAAGATCTTGGCGAGTCCTCATAGCTTCGAGGACAACACCCACATTTCCTTTTTATCTTTTATTTTCATGTTGAGACTATTGTATGGGCTGTGTCCCAAGAGTTTATTCTAAAAGTTGTATTAGATGGTTTGAGACAAAGTATAGAAAGGCTTCCGCTTGATTTTATGTAAAATGACTTCGATTGTAAAAGTTTTAAATTTTCTCGTATTTCTATTAACTTATGTCCAGGATATGCTAAGTGTTTGTATGCGACCCCTGCAGGGTCAAGTACACCATGTTACGTCTATGGGGTACCCCTGGGTCATGACATTGAGTTAGCACAAACCTAATCAGATTTCACCCACATTAAATTAGACTTAGTCCCAACATAATTATTAGTTCAATTTAAAGTTTCAACCAACACAATCAAGAGTGAGCTTCTATAGGCACACACATCAAAATATGTCAGGGGTACAATTTAAATCTCACAATATAACGCAACTCAATGAAATCAAACAAACAATAACACTTAATGGCTTCAATCACACACTCATTATCCAATTAAAACTCATAAATATCCAAATTTTTTAAAAACCAACATAAGTAGGATCACAAGTTTAGAAATTAAAGGAAATGGGGTTGGGTTGATGGGAAATCAAAGATAACGCACCCCTCAAACATTGAAAACACACACTAAAGACTCACAAGGGTTTGATTTTTGAATTTGTTAAAACTTTGGCGTTTTTATATCATCCCCACTCGAAGAATTGCCAATTGAAGCTTAAACTCATTCAAAAAGCCTGGATGAACACTAAATCTGAAGGATGTGTCGACAGACTTGATGGAGTCCGAATAATGCACTTCAGCAAATTGCCAATTGTAGCTCTAATCGCCAATTTAAACAGTACAATATTTCCACCTATTCCAACTCAGAAGGGTGGACAAGAATGAGTCCACTCAACACCTTTTAACGCATAGCCGTTTAGGTATTGGCATCCTCTTTGCCGCCCTTTTCAATCATAAAGCTTCTTCTCGAGTTGCACTGACAACGTACATTATTGAAAGCAATAAAAACAAAATTAAGGACATGGGTTGCCTCCCAAGAAACGCTTTATTTAACATCGTGGAATAACATAATTATCAATCTCAAGAATCATTCTTGGTGTTTGGGATGGTGTCACTAGGCAATGGTTCCTATCATGACCTAGGGGTACCCCCTAGACGTAACATGCCGTAGTTGACCCAGAAGGGGTTGTATACAAGCCCTCAGCACATTCTTAACATAAGGTAATAGAAAATACGGGAGAATTCAGAACTTTTACAATCGAAGTCATTTTCCAAAAATCAAGTGGAAGTCTTACTAAAACCTTTGTCTCAAACCGTCTACTTAAACTCATGAATAGAAGTCTTTGGGACGCAGCCCATACAAAGTATAAAAACATGAAAATAAAGACATAAAGTTAATGTGGTTGTTGTCCTCGAAGCAATGAGGACTCATCAAGATCTTCAACTCCTTGCAACCTCAGGAAACCTATCTTCCAAGCAACTCAAGCCTCCAAACCCTACATTTGATTACAATGTAGGCAATATGCGTTCGTACAAAATGTACCAAGTATGAAAGCTAGCACAACATCATAAGAGCATCTCAAATGTTTTGTCAACATAAGACATAAGCAGAAGAGATAATAACATGGTCATAACACAATCAATATAGCCATAGAATAATCATCAACACAAGCATCATATAAACACAAGTCGAGATAAGATATATTTAATGAGCATAGGAGGCATAGTATTTACTTAGACATTCATGGCTACATACTTCAACTTTAAGTCCTTGATATTACAAGAGAACTACTTTACAAGACACCTCCAAGTATACCTGTGCAATGCAAGGATATCATCCCATACTACCATCCAAGGTAACTACCTCTCTTTGGTCATTCTTGGGAATACTCCACCTTCACACTCAAGATTTAGGTCTTCATGTCATCTTAATTATAATCTATGTACAAGGTCAACTCTTAAGCTTCTTTATGCCATAAGGGTACCATATTTCTAAGTAACCCCAAGACACACTTGGGTAATGCATGAAATCCATCCCATACTATCCTTCACACTAAGCATAGCCTTGAAGTCATACTAGTCATACTCACCCTACTTTGGCCTCATTATTAGCTTAACTCTAATAATTAATGGAATCTCTCACCTTTAGTAAACTATAACTAGGAAAGGCAACTCTAGCCTAATCCTATCTCAAGACTTCTCTTTAATGACCCTAAGTCATACTTGTGCAATGCATGCATAGCATCCTATAATACTATACATGCTAAGTACTACCTTTAGGTCCTCATGCTATCACTTCTTGGTTTGGAACCTAGTTCCTCTCTTTAACTTTAGAACACTATGAGGTACTTTATTAAGTAAGTCTTAGTTCAATTATGCTTTATAATACTATGAGATACTTATCAAGCATGTCTTAGTTCATAGGATATGGAGACTTATACTAAGAACCTTAAATCCACTATGTGAAGGTTCCCATCTCAAGAGACCCAACTTTGGGACAACTCAAACTCTACTACGTAAGAGTTCCTCCTTTAACTTGGATAGTCCTCACATCAACTAGGTGTGGCTCTCCTTTCATCTTGGAGTCCGGACCCTATCTTGTGTGACATTCCACCTATTCTTAAATATCCACTTGAGGCCAAGCATACACCTCAAGGTTTACTTGTTAAGCCTTGCATAACACTCATCTGTCATGGAAGGATGTCCCTGACAATCAATACATGCTCAAGTGATTCTATCACTTTCATCTATCACACATTCCTAAGGTAGGTTAAGTGAGTATAGGCCTTTCATCACAATTCAACCTATTTGACTTCTATTCTCTTTTAGACTTTACAGTCCAAGCCTTAGCAACCCTAGGTAATCACATTAACTTCACCCTAAAGCCCTAGCTATTAGGATCACAACCATACTCTCAAGGTTTATTTGTTAATCACTTCTTTATACCTAGATTTGAAGGTAATTTGATCATATCTTTCATTATTAGGTGATTCTAGTCTTAATTGATCATAAAGGTTTAATTCTATCTTTACAAGTCAAGATCAACCATATACAATAGAGTCTAGTTAAATTAAGGATTAGATGATCCTAACTTTGATCAATTACAACACCAACATTGAATTTGGAAGATCACATATGAACCATCAACTTTTCCTCTAATGGCATAAACCCACAAAGATCACATTCATCAGTTTAGATTATTTTTACCATAGAAACACATGAAATAATAACATTATCATAAATTAAAGCTAAATCAATCATAATTGGGTGATATCCACTAGATCGGAATCAAACCCAAGACCTACCCACAATGCAATCACAACCCTAGCTAAAATTGGGTTTCTGAGTTCACAATGCGGGATTACTAAGGGGGATTCATGGGTGGAAGAACCCATGGATGATTAAGCTTCACATACCTTTAATCAATGCCCTAAACAAAGCTTGAAATCAATGGAAAAAGCTCGACCTAGTTCCTGGCCCAACTTATTATTCTTCTTTGCTTCTAGAGAGAGATCTTCTTGAGAGTAATTTGAGAGTTCTAAGATGAATTAGTTAAAGTGATTAGTTTAGGGTCTATTAACTATTTATAGGAGGTTAATTAACTAACTAATCGCCCCTTCTAACCCCTAAACTAATTACTAAAATAACCCTCAACTCCTCACTTAAAACTAATTTAACAAAAACTGGCAGCACCTACGAGACCCCCATCCACGGACCGTGGATGGGTCTACTGTGGTTTGGGTCAGAGACTTATATTTTCCAGGCCAACTCAGGCCTGACCTACACCCATCACCTACAGGGCGTAGGTTGATCTAAGGGGCGTTAATAGGGTCGTGAATCAAGCTGTTTTGACAGCTTTTAGGGCAGTGTTGGGGTCTTCCTCAAGGACCCCTTGGGTGGTCCTTGGGGAGTCGTACCCAGACGTTTCACCCCTAAACATGTCATTCTAAGTGCGGGAGTCATTTATCTTGATTTTAACCTTCATACGACACTTCAAAAATCGAGTACAAGACTCTACAACACACTATGTCAACTCACTTAAATGTGGGGTGTTACATTATCCCCCACTTGGGAACATTCTTCCTCGAATGACACTTTAAACACTTCATAAAGTCTAAAATCTAACTTAGCAGCCCATTATGCATAAATTAAATCTAATGCACATAATCAAGGAAGAACTTCAATCCCACAAACTAGGCATGCTCATAATCAACTCATGAAGTTTATATGCAATCCTATTCAAAGAACTACCTCATGAGACAACTAATGTATATAAATCATTTCTACCAATCCCTAAGAAATTTCATGAACATGTGTATAAGGAAATCGTGGCAACACAACAACCCTACTTGATAGGCACACTATCCCCCACTTGGGAGCAAGCCTACACAATCTTTTCTAAACATCATATATGCTAAAGTAACTTCAAAATCAAACATGACAAGTCATAAAAGATAAGAAATCTGAAAATTTTACAAAGGCATGAAACACATACCGGAAAGGGACATGAGGGAATCACTCTTGATCCTCTCTAGATTGGAGAGCATAAAACCTATTCTTCTTTGGAGTACCCTCTTACGGATCACTAGAGGCAACTTTCTTATCCTCCCTTCCCTTAGCATTAAGAACCGGGAAATCTCTTACTTTGTGCCCATCCTTCCCACACCCATAGCAACCATCCATGCCGGCTAGGAACTTACCATAATGAATCCCCCACACTTGGAGCAAGTAGGCGTGGGAAATGGAGATCTACTACCCTTCTCTTTGTCAAACCTAGAGGTGTTGGAAGAATCTTGGCCGGAATATCTTGGTTTAGTCCTAGGCCTATCTTGTCCCTCGGACTTAACATTAGAAAAGTTCCCTTCATTTGTCCTAGCCCTATTTACCTCCCTATTCATCTTCTTGAGCTTTGACTCTTCTATTTGTTGGGCAAACACCATAAGGCATGAGATATCCATATCATCAACAAGCATTGCTGTACGACATTCTTCTTCTACCAACTCGAACACCCCCATCATAAACCTATTCATCAAATCCCTAGGATTAGCTACCAAGCTTGGAGCATACTTAGAGAAAAGGGTGAATTTCAAAGAGTATTCCTTTACACTCATTCTACCTTGCTTGAGGTTGATGAATTCTCCAAATTTGGCTTCCCTCAATTCCCGGGGAAAGAACCTATCTAGAAATGCAAACTTAAAAGCTTGCCATTCTATAGGGCCCGCTCTTATCGGCCTACTATCTTTCCATTGCTCATACCAAATTTGGGCAACGTTCTTCAATTGATAGGCGGCTAGTTCCGCTTTCTTAATAGAAGACACCTCTATGATTTCAAGCACCTTATAAACCTCCTCTATAAACCCGTTTGGATCTTCTCCCAATTTGGATCCATAGAACTCTAGAGGGTTCATTCTCAAAAACTCTCTCATCCTAAAAGCACCGTTCCTCGTATAGGGTTTGTCGGAGCCACCACCTCTCTATTGGCTTGTGCAATCAAGGCTTGGGCCAATAATTTGTTAGAAGTCCTAAACTCTTCAAGAGTGGCATTCCCAATGGGAGGATCATTTGGAGCTTGAGGAGGAACTTTATTTAGAGCTTGGGGAGGAACCTCTTGGTCTCCATTGTCTACCCCTTCTCTCTTATCATTAGCCCTAGTATTTTCCATAACCTGAAATATCATAGGCAAATAATATAAGAAGGACCTAATAGAGCTAAACTTCTATGGCACGACTAAGAGAATGAAGAAGTGAGACTTTTCCTAAGAATTTAATAGCCTCCTATTCATAAAATGTGTTGTGACTCACACCTATGAATAAGACTCTACTTAGACGTGGTTTGAGACATCCTAAAATTTATCCCAAAACCTTATGCTCTGATACCAAGTTTTTAACGACCCAGGGGTAACCCCTAGACGTAACATGGCATAGTTGACTCTGAAGGGGTCGCATACAAGCCCTTAGCACATTCTTAACATAAGATAATAGAAAATATGGGAGAATTCAAAACTTTTACAATCGAAGTCATTCTCCATAAAGCAAGCGGAAGTGTTTCTAAAACCTTTGTCTCAAACCATCTATTTAAAGTCACGAATAAAAGTCTTTGGGACACAACCTATACAAAGTCTAAAAGCATGAAAATAAAGACATAAAGGTAATGTGGTTGTTGTCCTCGAAGCTATGAGGACTCACCAAGATCTTCAACTCCTTGAAACCTCTAGAAACCTATCTTCCAAGCAACTCAAGCCTCCAAACCCTACATTTTGAATAGAATGTACGCAATATGCGTTAGTATAAAATGTACAAAGTATGAAAGTTGGGAAATATGCGTTATTATATGGTCATAACACAATCAATATAGCCATAGAATAATCATCAACATAAGCATCATATAAACACAAGTCAACATAAGATATACTTAATTAGCATATGAGATACATCATGTTCATGGCATAGTATTTACTTAAACTTTCATGGCTACATACTTCAACCTTAAGTCCTTCATATTACAAGAGAATTACTTCACAAGACACCTCCAAGTATACTTGTGCAATGCAAGGATAGCATCCCATATTACAATCCAAGCGAAGTACCTCTCTTTGGTTATTCTTGGGTATAGTTCACCTTCACACTCAAGACTTAGGTCTTCATGTCATGTTAATTATAATCAAAGTACAAGGTCAACTCTTAAGCTTCTCTATGCCATAAGGGTACCATACTTCTAATTAACCCCAAGACACACTTGTGCAATGCACGAAAGGCATCCCATACTACCCTTCACACTAAGAATAGCCTTGAAGTCATCCTAGTCATATTCACCCTAATTTGGCCTCATTATTAGCTTAACTCTCATAAATAAGGGAATCTCTCACTTTTAGTCAACTATAACTAGGAAAGGCCACTCTGGCCTAATCGTATGTCGAGACTTCTCTTTAATGGCCGTAAGTCATTCTTGTGCAATGCATGCATAGCATCCCATAATACTATACATGCTAAGTACTACCTTTAGGTCCTCATGCTATCACTTCTTGGTTTGGAACCTAGTTTATCTCTTTAACTTTAGAACACTATGCGGTACTTTATTAAGTAAGTCTTAGTTCAATTATGCTTTAGAACAGTATGAGATACTTCTCAAGCATGTCTTAGTTCATAGGATATGGAGATTGCTACTAAGAACCGTAAATCCACTATGTGAAGGTTCCCATCTCTTGAGACCTAACTTTGGGACAACCGACACTCTATTACGTAAGAGGTTCCCCTTTAACTTGGATAGTCCCCACATCAACTAGGTGTGGCTCTCCTTTATTCTTGGAGTCCGGACCCTATCTTGTGTGACATTCCATCTCATCTTCAATATCCAATTGAGGCCAAGCATACACCTCAAGGTTTACTTGTTAATCCTTGCTTAACACTCATCTCTCATGGAAGGATGTCCTTGACAATCAATCCATGTTCAAGTGATTCTATCACTTTCATCTATCAAGCATTCCTAAGGTAGGTTAAGTGAGTATAGGCCTTTCACTACAATTCAACCTATTTGACTTCTATTCTCTTTTAGACTTTACTCTCAAAGCCTTAACAAACCTAGGTAATCACATTAACTTCTCCCTAAAGCTCTAGCTATTAGGATCACAACCATACTCTCAAGGTTTCTTTCTTAGTCTCTTGTTTATACCAAGATTTCCAGGTAATTTGATCACATCTTTCATTATTAGGTTTTCTAGTCTTAATTGATCATAAAGGTTCAATTCTAACTTTACAAGTCAAGATCAACCATACACAATAGAGTCTAGTTAAATTAATGATTAGATGATCCTAACTTTGATCAATTACAACACACAACATTGAATTAGGAAGAACACATATGAACCATCAACTTTGCCTCTAATGGCATAAACCCACAAAGATCACATTCATCAATTTATATTAGGGTTTACCATGGAAACACATTAAATCATCACATTATCATTAATCAAAGCTAAATCAATCATAATTGGGTGATATCCACTAGATTGGAATCACACCCAAGACCTACCCACAATGTAATCACAACCCTAGTTAGAATTGGGTTTTTGATTTCAGAATGGGGGATTACTAAGGGGGCTCCATTGGTGGAAGAACCCATGGATGATTAAGCTTCACATACCTTTAATCAATGCCCTAAAAAATCTTGAAATCAATGGAGAAACTCGACCTGGTTGCTGCCCCATCTTATTCTTCTTCCTTGCTTCTAGAGAGAGAACTTCTTGAGAGTAATTTGAGAGTTATAAGATGAATGAGTTAAAGTGATTAGTTTAGGGTCTATTAAAAATTTATAGGAGGTTAATTAACTAACTAATCTCCCCTCCTAACCCATAAACTAATTACTAAACTAACCCTCAACTCCTCACTTAAAACTAATTTAACAAAAACTGACAGCACCTACATGACCCCATCCACGGACGGTGGATGGATCTACTGGACGTGGTTTGGGTCAGAGACTTATATTTTGCAGGACAACTCAGGCCTGACCTACGCCCATGAGCTACGGGGCGTAGGTTGATCTAAGCGGAGTCAATTGGGGTCGTGAATCAAGTTGTTTTGACGTCGTACTTGGACGTTTAACCCCTAAACAAGTCATTCTAAGTACGGGAGTCATTTAACTTTATTTAACATTTCATACGACACTCCAAAACTTCAGTACAAGACTCTACAAAACATTAGTTTAACTCACTAAAATATGGGGTGTTACAGTTCCCTTTTTCCTCATATTGAGATTAGTGGAGATTTGGCATAATTGAATCTGTAGCTGCTTGATAGATATCGAATGATAATTCATAGTTTGGGATAAACTGGTGAATTCATTATTCATTTCCTTCAACACTTTGTCAGACCCTTCAACCTTGTTGAATATCCTTGTAAGCATTTCTTTAGTATAACTTCCTTTTGGGCAGCTGGATCTTTTGGGCGTGTACTATAATGGGGAATCACATACCTATATTTTTCATCACCCTATCTCTCCAATTTCCACCATGCTAATCTTTCCAACCACCATTTTATCTTTCTTCCAACCATGATTCCTACATTTTCATTGATAAATGGTGTGAGAACCCCCCATTTGATTTCCCAAGTATTGAACTTTCTCATGGTATAATGCAACAAACTTGGAATCATCCATGCACTACCCAATGTAGATTCCACGACATTTACAAACTGAAGTCCACCTCCCATGACATGTTTAGACAACAAATCTAGTTGGGTAATCATTTTGGCCATGTTTTCATCTCGTTCATGGTCCCTCTCAATTTTTTCTTTGCTCATACTCAGCTGTAGAGTAGGCACTTGGTCTTATCTAGTATGCAATTCTTGGTTAACTTTGGTAATATGATCTAGAAGCAAAGCAACCACATCATATAGTTGTCTCATTAATCTACCTTGGACCAACTGATCAGCCACACATTTGTTGACTGAATCAATGTCGCAATAAAAGTATTGCAGCAACAATTGTTCTGAACACCATGCGTTGGAAATTGCAAAAGCTCCTTCTTGAACCTCATTTATGTCTCATGTCTGTTCAACTCAAATACGCAAGAAATTTTGGATCGGGGTTCGTATTTTAACCATCTTTGAGGATGGAAAGAATCTCTCAAAGTAGGCATCAATTAGTTATTCCCACGAAGTAATAAAATCATTTGGTAATTCTGCCAACCATTTTGTAGCCTCTGTCATTAAAGAGAACTACAATAACCTCAACCTTATGGACTCTTGAGAGATATTCTTGAACACAAAAGGTACACATACCTCCACGAAATTCCTATAGTGTTCATGGGGATCCTTTTGAGTTAGGCCCCCTGATTTTCCTTTCATCTGGAGTAATTTTATTATTGTTCTGGTTATGTGAAACACAACCCTCCCGTCTATAGGAGGTATCCGAACTGCTCCTGTTGTTTGAATATCATTCATGTGCATATCATTCAAATCACCAATGTTGTCGTTTTGACCGAAGTGACTTTCATTGTCATGTCCATGGTAATTCATTGTATAAACCTGCAAATTAGCCAACAACAACAACAAAAAATAATCTACCACAACTAAACAAAATTAAAATATAATTTCTCAATTAGACTTGTCAACTACCATTTAATGTCAACGGGGCCATTTTTTATTACACTCAAATTTCCTCTTTATGACCAATTAAAAGGGACAACGGTCGTCATCAATAAAAATACCCAACAAAGAGTTGGGGTTGAATCCAATAGAGAATGGTATACCATGAAGAATTCCTTTCTAAATGTTTGGATTTTAAGATTGCTTATATGTAATATGAGGAACAAGTGGGTGGATAATTCTACCAATATAGTAAAAATCTTTGGTTATCTATTATCACAATTAAACTAATTACTGAAGAATTCAAGAATTAACAAGCAGTCTAGGGG